TCGATCCGGCATACAAAGTTCATCATAAACCACCCAACTGAAATGGAAAAACTACGCATTCAAGCCCACTACATCACTAAGAATAATGCAGGAAAAGTTGGGAATTGTACAAATGAAATGTTTAAAATTTTGGTAAAGAGAAGGCGAGAATGGTCAATGGTTACCATGTAGCTAAGAAGGCGAGCACGTCACCGTCTGAGTATGTAGCGCAATCGGATGCAACCAACTCTATCGAACATCCCTCATCCAATGTCTCATTCAATAATTCACGTAAATTCGATGTTATCCTATCGTCTAACCAGTGTGCATGTCCGAATAATGTCACGCACATCACACCCGTACCTGGGGCACCTTAAACTCTCACGCATTATTCGAGACGTTCCAAAACTATTCATCGCATTCAGAAGGACTCAACTTTAAAGGACTCAACCCATAACTGAAATTTTAAAGAAGTATAACATCTGAAGACTTGTCTACTTCGTTTTCTTGCATTCATTAAGTTTATTAACGGTGGATAATGAGCACAATCACCTGGTACTTGGTGTAAACTGTACGTATTACAATACGGAACCGGAATGAACATACGCTCGACCCAGTCCATTATTTCGCTCTTGTTTGCGTTTTTAATTCATTGGATACAATAAAACAAAACGCTGATATTGTTACAACATCTACTCCCTATTCAAACTACAAAATAAAAGGTAAATCCGCCGATGCTTGCACAACCAACTGATTATATCGCAAAATCAGCTGATTGAGAAAAAAAACGAGCGCTGGCCGAACTCCAATACATTCGTGTACGGCGACGTTGCCAACAACAACACGTTTGATGATGGATATTTGTTAATTTTTATGGTACTTGCATGATTCATATTTGTGTATTCACTTGTTGCACAAATGCATCCGCAACTTATGAAGAAAAGCGAATAAATTCTATTTTTCACTTTAACTTCTTCTATAGAATTATTCAACGATTAAAATTCAACATCCCTCCAGACTATTTCTAAGAGAAACGTCGAAATTTTTCTACAACTCACTATAATTATTTCATTCTCCACAAAATAAGGCTAAAGAGAATTTTGTTTGATTAAAAACACCTCTCTGCTTATCCATCGAGAATTCGGCGCTGTGTTGATGTCAATTGATGCAATTGCATTAGCAATACTGGCGACTAATGAATAATCAGATAGATATGTTGTGTTTGTTTCAATCAACTCTAAATCGGCTTCATTTTCAGAGTTATCGAAACATTTCGGGTTTTTATGATCGCAAATGGGTGCCTCATCATCCTCTGCAAACGCTCCATCTAGCGGTTTAGTCGAAACTGGTTCCATATA